TCCCCAGCCAGCAATGAGAGGAGGAAGAGTGGTCATTGGATGTTATCTGGCACCACCTTGCAGCAGGAGATTCCCAAATGATGCTGCAAAAAAGTCACCTAAGCTCTTGATTTTACCTTCTTTCCTTCCAGCTTCTAGGACCTGAAAGTATTGGTGACACTCTTTGGAAAGCCATGGAAGGTCCTTGGGTTCCCAGATGTCAGGCTATTGCAACTGTAGCATCTGACCACAGGGGAACATATGGCTCTTCCCCCAGGCATTAGGGGGCTGTTAAGCGGGAGTCCTTTGGAGCTGTTTTCTTATGTGTTTAGCCGCCATTTTACATTTTGTACTTATATTTTGTACTGTTTATTGTTATGGGTTTTTGTCCATTTTTGATGTATCGTTTGTTTTTATGCTGTATGCCACCCAGAGTCATACTGGTTGAGTTAGGCGGTCTTTCTGCATCAGCTGCAGATCTGGACCAAAGTTGATCATGTTACAATAATGTAAATGTGAGGTTAGTGTTGCATGGACCACAGGGTTGATTGTTTTTTTTGTTTTTTGTTTTGCTTACTTCAAGTCAGTCTTGACTCCTGGTGACTGTCTTGACAAGTCCCTGCATTTTTCATGGCAAGATTTTTGGAAGTTGTTGGCTCTTGCCTTCTTCCTAGGGCTGAGAGAGCATGACTGGCCCAAGGTCACCCAGATGGCTTTGTATCTAAGGTGGGACTAGAACTCATGGTCTCCTAGTTTCTAGCCTGGTGCCTTAACCACTACACCAAACTGGCTGTCTATGAACCAGCATAGGTGATTAGTAAGAGATTAAGAAGCAAGTTTGATGGGATTGTGCTGACAAGAAAAAGAGCTTTAAATTTAAACATTAAGAATTGGAAAGACTTTACATATTTTTTTAAAAACCCTGTTTACAGAATATTTACATAATAATAAGACATGTTTATAGACAAAAATATGTTGGCAGGGAAGATTTCAAAAACTTTAGAAGATTCTTAAGCAACAGTTCTATAAATTCAACATTTTTCAAAGTGTCCTGTTTTGTGCATGGAGAAGTTCAGAGTGTCCCAATATCTGACATGGGTCCTCTGGGATTAGATGAAAATTCATGGAAGAAGTCAGAGCTTCTTAGGCTAAGAATCAATAGAAATTCTTCTGACTCTGAAGAATTTTTTTTCCAGCTGATGCTGGAATGGAATTGTAAAGGTACTACTCTCAAGTTACGGGTGTCCCTCACAGAAGCAGAGAGAAAGCTATGAAAGCACCTTTTAAGTGCTCATCCTCACTTTCCAGAATGGAATTTGAGGAAGAGGTCCATCATTTTTGCAGGCAGATTGGGCTTGAAGTTAAAGACCTGGGAGCCCTAATGTGGAGGCCAAAGTCACCAATATATCTGTGAATAGCTCCTTTGTTCTTATTAAGGTCTTCCTTTTACATTTTTTTTTTCATTTAAAAAGTAGGAAACCTATGTGCTGTAAAAGAAGGTGCCACCCTCCACATCACCCTTATTTCTAAGAATGCTTCTGTGCCTCTGACAAGCCTGAGCAGCTTCCTTTAAATAATAAAATGGAGGATGGCTACAGCCCAGCACTTTGGGTGGAAATCTGTCCAGAAAATGGGTGAAAGTGAACAGATCGTTGGTTGGCATTTTGTTAGCCCTGCAGAGACATCTAATCAAATCTGGAGGTTTCATCACAATGATGAAATATGCGCTGTGATGTCATTCTGCAGGCTCTACCCCCAGATATACATGTCTGTGACACTGCAACACATGCACAAAAAAGGGCAAAGTCTGCAGGGTAGCATTGCAATACACGTTTCATTATTTATCTGCCCTGCAGATGCCCGTTTTATGAATGAAGCCGCTCTCCCACTCCGCACCAGCTATTGTTCCACTCGATCAACAGATTAGGAACCCTTGTATAATTCAGCGAATGTGCTGTTCCAAGGTTTTTTCCCTACCACATTATGAATCCAAGCACTTACAGATATATGAAACGCTTACGCATTTTAGCAATTGTTAATTCTAAAATTGTTCTCCCCGGCTCTTTTATTCTGGCTATTTAAGCATCGCTTCTTCCCTAAAAATAAATCAGCCTATTTTTTTAAGCAGACACAGACAAGTCCTTCTCATGTGATTATGATAAACCAAATGCATTTCTTTTCCCTGTACAAAAATAACCCTCTTGCCCGAGGCCCAGAATCTTTGCTGTTTGTGCTTATTTGCAGAAAATCTATTCCATGCACTTCCTGAGATGTTGTTTGAGGCCCAGTAATTACTTTTTTTGTCTAGGCATTCCTCTTCCAAAGACAAAGGCTACCTCCCTGAAAAGACTAAGAATTTAGAGAAGTCAAAAAGATTTAAATTGACGCTGGGGTGCTCTTTGGATTTGCTCTGGCCAGCAACATTATGCGGCCAAGAGCCAATTCTCTGACAAATCTATCTAATGCCTTTAAAATGTGGTAAGACAATAAAAGTACTGCAGTTGCTAAGCAGATCTGAGCATGGGTGTTCTGATATATGACTGTCAAGTACAGTATCTATTTAAAAGATTTCTGAACTTTCTAAATTCTAATGTGTGGAGACAGTGGGTGGGAGATTTAATCTTTTCTCTCTGAAGTTCAGAACAACTGCCATGTTGGAATCAGTCGAGTCTCCAAGCATGGAAGATCAAAGTCCAGGATTCTGCTCAATGGAACTTTTCTTGACTAAAAGAGTGCTATCGGTTATGAAATCAAAAGTGCAACTCCAATGCACAAGAAGGACCCCAAGTTTTGAAAAAGCACAAGCAAATCTTTGCAAGAAAAACTTTAAGGGGAAGGGATCCAGATATAGCTGAGACTCAATTGGTCATGGGGGCTTTCTTGGCTGATTACTGGGGAAGAAGAGGAGCATGTATTGAAATGCTTAGAATTTAGGATGGAAACTACTCCCCCCCCCCGCATTTTGTTGCAGATCTCATGTGCATCCATTATTTCTGATCTTATCACTTGCACATGCTTGATCATTCTGAAATTATAATGGTAGAGCTGGGGTTGTATGGGAATAAATTGTTTGGGAAAACTTGATTTTGAAGGGCAGCAATTGTCTCTGCATTTTTTATAGCTTCCTTTTCCCAAATGGATTATCTCCAAAGGTATTTTCTTGTTCTTTTATAATACATTTTCAGACAATTCACTTTAAGCTATATTTTCTATTTAATTTCTTCTTTGGAAAAGGAAAGAAAAAGAAAAAAGAAGTTGGTTGCTTGCCACCAAAATTGTAGGGTCAGGGAAATTGAGAGAGACAGAAGTGCTAGAAAGATCACTGTTTAATTATATGTTTCAGTTTGACATCTTACAATTGCATCCTTTGTACAAATGGAAAGAAACAAAAAATAAAGATACTTAGTATGACTAATTCAGACTTAGTTTATGGGGAAAACGATTGGAAACAACTTTTCCCATGTGGGCTGAAAATGAAGCAACTGGGTGGGAGGAGATGTGAGTCTCAACAAGAGTTGGCTGACCTTGGTGGGGAGACAGGAATGTGCAAAGTAAAAATCCAACCACTTTAGTGTTATTTTGGATGATCAAACCAAATAGAGTTGCTCAGAGTTACATTTCATTCTGGAAGTAGCATATACCTTGCAATATGAACTTCTTAATAAGTAGGATATTTGTAAGTGGCACTGTTAAGCAGGGAAAGCTTTTATCCAAAACACTAGAGGGGTGGTAAATGTTGGTGTTCAATATGTCAGCATGCATACTCACGCACAACAGCACACAGCATCAGTCCCTATATATGACTACTGTTGTATGCCTAATGAGCTGAGAGTAAGTTCCACTTAACTCAGTGGTACCTCTAGCAGCATTCATAAAACAGGTGAACAATGCTGAATTTCATTGGGCTAAAAGGCAATCTCCAGTTCTGAATTAAAGATAAACTAGCTTGCAAATCAGTGATACTATCTGAACTGTTAGCTTGACTCATCATTTTGGGGGGGAACCCCCCCCCAAGATTATATTCTCAAAAATCAGATTTCGCTATAGTCAACTAGAATAATAACTCCTCAAACATGTTGTGCTAGCTGATGACTGTTTGATTTGCTTTTATTAATATTCAATAAACATTCAGTAGTTTGGGGGAAAAATAAGCTTGAGGTAGAAACCCCATTTTGAAAAAGATGTATACAGCCCTGCTTCTTTTCTTCATTCCCTGACTTGTGCTATGCTTTAATTTAACCATAATGAATTTGAAAGCCTTCTTGATGACTACCATCCCATCCAGCTTTATGTGGATCAGCCCTCTTCATTGCTTTGTCAAGACATCTTGCTCACCATGTAGATATGAATGCGATTTTCTATACTCCAGAAAAATTGCTTAATAACAGTATTATTTTTAAATTTATAGATCAAAACCAAAACTGTGTGCATTCATCAAGCCTGCCTTAAGGAGAGCAAAACTCAAAAATAAAGTCAACTCACGGATTTAACACATTCCATACTAATCTGTTGATTTTGTTTTATTAAGCAAAGTTGTACTTGGCATCAATTTATTGCTACCAGATGGTATGGCATATCTGTTGAACTGACCAAGTGAATATTTATTAGAATATTCCAATACAGTGGTACCTCGGGTCACGAACTTAATTCGTTCCGCGACTCTGGTCGCAACCCGAATTGGTCGCGACCCGAATCAAATTTTCCCATAAGGTTCAATGTAAATATGGTTAATCCGTTCTGACCCCTACAAATTTGGTTACCAACTGATTTTGGTCACGACCTGAATCAAATTTTCCCATAAGGTTCAATGTAAATACAGTTAATCCATTCTG